CTACAGGTTGATCAGACCTATTTACCGCGGGGCTCTCATAAGTCTGGTCATTGTCATTATTTAGCGCTAAATTTTTCTTTTGTTGTCTAGTTAAGACGTTGACAACATGTTCTTGCATATCTTTAAGATCTTTGCATGTTACAGGAATCCGACTCAATGCGTCTGCAGCCGCATTGCTTCGACCCGGAACATACTCAACCTCAAAGTCATACTCCTCTAAATATAAACGGAATTTTGTTAATCGACTTGATGGATCCTTTAAACTAAATAAATAAATGAGTGGTTTGTGATCAGTATAAATTTTAAATTTTCTACCATATAAATAAGGTCTAAAATGTTTGATTGCCCAAACAATGGCTAGTAATTCCAATTCAATCACAGGATACCTAGTCTCGGCTGGTTTCAAATTTCGACTTGCATAAGCAACTACTTTACCATTTTCATTTGATAGTATTGCTCCTAGACCAATTTTTGAGGCATCGGTTTGCAATTTAAACATGTTATTTTCTGAAAAATTTGGATATTCTAATACTGGTGGATTCATAAGTGCTTTCTTTAAACTCTCAAATGCTGACTGACATTCCGATGTCCAATCAAACTTTACACCTTTTTTACATAAAACATTTAATGGATAAACAATGGAAGCAAAACCTGATATGAAGCGTCTGTAATAATTTGCAAACGCAACAAAACGTTTCACATCTTCAGCACATACAGGTGTTGGAAAATTTCGCAATACTTCAATCTTTGCTGGATCGGGGAAAATTCCACTCGATGTTATTTTATGGCCCAAATAAACAATTTCGTGTCTCAAAAATTCACATTTAATAGGGTTTAATTTAAGATTTACTTCTCGTAGTCTATTCAATACACTTATGAGATTTTTGTTGTGACTTGATAACGAGTTTCCTATCACAATACAGTCATCCAGATAAATAAAACATTTTTTATAGTTAAGGCCCGCCATTGCAATTGTCATGAGCCTTGAAAATACGCTTGGACTGGTTGAGTCCCATTGGACAACGTTTCATTTGATACTGTTTTCCTGCTGAAAAAGCAGTGCATTTACGTGAATCCTGGTCCAGAGAAAGCTGATACATTTTATTGACACTAAATGAAGTATATTTTCGAGAATTATCACTAAGAAAAGTTGGTAATAACTTTGTGAAAGGTCTAATTTTGAAAAATATATACTCCCTGAAAGTGAATCTAAAATTTCAGTTATATTAGGTAATGGAAACTTGTCATCCTGTATTTTATTATTCAACTGTCGGTAATCAACGACAAGCCTCCATTTCTTTTCATTAGATTTATCTGCTTTCTTTGGAACCAACAATATTGGACTCGACCACTCCGATGTTGTTTCCTCAATAATATCGTTTTCCAACATATCTTGAATTTGCTTTTCTACCTCGTGCTTAAGAGCATGGGGAATTCTATACGGTTTCTGATAGATAGGGGCTACATTATCCTTCAATTTAATAGTATGTTCCATTAAATTTGTGACTGATAATTTATCCCCTGGCAAATGAAACACATCTGCATATTTTGCACATATGTTTTCTATGTTAATTTGCTCTTCCTTATTTAGATAACTGACATCGAGCAAATTAAATAGTGTTTTAACACGTTCTACACTTTTACTCTCCGAAGTAAACTCACATACGTCATAATCGTTCAGAGAATAAACACCTATGTCAGATACATCTATCTGTATTTCCGTATTCCTTGTATTTAATATTCTAACAGGGATATGATTATTGCTAGGTTTTGCCAGTAAACCTGCAACAAAGACCCCTTCATGGATCTCCTTGGCCAATACGACTGTATCCTCACGATAAGCGCAAGGAATATAACTAATTACCTCACAACGTGGTGGGATTGTGCGAGTATACCTATTGTCAGGTTCAATACTCAAGTTAACCTTCTGGTCATTATGAGTTAAACATAAAGTCATTGTTTTATAATTAATTATTCCTCTATAATGCTTAAAAAAATTATCACCTAATATTCCATCAGCGGAACACCACAAGTTCTTAAAAACATAAAATTTTTGATTAAAAACTATACCATCGCAAACTAAATCTAAATAAAGAAACCCTTCAGAAATTAATGTTCCACTTACACCTTTTATTGTTAACCTATCATACTGAAGCTTATTTAATAGTTCCGTATAGTTAGACAACCATTCATATTTTAAAATACATAAACTAGCTCCCGTATCTACTAATAAATGAGCTAAGCCTCCATAATTTACGTTAATTAGTATTACGCTACTATTATTGTAATTAAAAATATATTGTTCATTAGTTTGTCGAACGAAAAAACTCATTGTTCGATGAGTTGCCGGTATTTGATTGCGAAATTTGTTCATTGTGTGGTCCGTCCGAAAAGTGATGCGCGTTGCTGACACGTGTGCGCGTTACCGAGAATCCGCGCCCCCGTGCTGTACCTCGGTAGGTTCCGCGAATATTACGATTACTTTTGTAATAAGTCACGGGTAATGTATTATTGAAATGCCTATAATTAAAATTAGATTGAGAAGGCTGATTCCGGTTTTGAAAATAATTTCTAGTCCCACGATGTTTGTTTGTAAAGCTACGTCTATTACCACGATCATTCTGGAAGCGTCTAACATTCATAACTGGGTTATTATCAGGAGAAAGCGTTTGTTCATCTACTGCTGCCCTAATCGCCTCAGGCAACGACTCAAATTGTCGAGAAGCCACAATCGTACTTAGACGGGGGTCACTTAGACCATCTGAAAAACGCTTTATTGCGATTTTTTCGTTGATCGGTCGCAATACACCAAACTTAGTATCGTCCCCATCGGCTTGAGCAATTGTCAAGTCAACGAAAAGTGTTTCGAGCACGTTACCATAATTTTCTATTGACCTATGTCCCTGTTTCGTAGTCGAAAGCTGCGATTGTATAGCTACTGCTGATTTTTTCTGAATAAGATGCTTACGCATGTCACTAACCAAACTTTCAACATTTCCGTACGTAGATTTTAGACGTAATTTGGCTCCTTCCGATAACCGAGTTTTAAGAACAAATTCAATTAATTGATTTTTTGTGTTATCAGTTATCATCGAAGCATACAATTGTATGCCGTCGATCAGTTGCAAGGTCACTTGCTCTTTACCCGTCATAACTGGTAATAAAGCTATGGCTGTTTTCAGGTTAAAAGATTCGTCTGCCATTTTTATCGACGACGACTCTGTACTAACAGTAATTAGATTTAAAATTTTTGAATAACATATACGTATTTCGGTAACTATAGAATTTATAGTCTTTAAGGTTTCTGGACTTAGCTCTGAACATTCAGATTTTTTATTAATTTCAGACAAAATACACTCCAGTCTAGTATATTCAGCATGAGCTAACGATATCTTACACTGGGCTGTGTCGGAACTTTGTCTCCGAAGTGGACCGATTTTAACTAAATAGTCTCTTATATCTCTTAAATTATTACGAATTGAAGTTATATCTGTTAACTGCATAATAACATCAAGAATTACATTATATCCTTACATTATATCCAGTTAGTTATTTATACAAAATTTAGTGCTTATACATGCTTATTTATAGAACCTATAGAATTTATAGTGAAATTTAAACAGTTAAAGATTATATTATAGGATACATTGCCTTAGTTATTCCTTAGTAAGACGAGCCAGCGCGATGGAGTCACGGAGTAAGAAGCGCGATGACGCAGCTCGAAGTGGGGACTCATGCATGCCGGAACTGTGTGTTGGGCCGGGCTATACCCTGGACTCCTTGGGCCGGGATTTCCCTGGACTCCGCTCCTTCTCTTCGAATTATACTGGTTCGTGTCGTGAGACGGCACTAAAATTGTGTGCGTTGAGTTCTCGTCTCAATGTTTTTACAGCAGCATTTTGGCATTTCTTTAGGATGAAGTAAATGCCAGCGGTAGATAGTATTACCACTACTACTATTAATAGTACTTCAGCGACAGTAAGAGCATCCCTTGACTGATGAGCAGATGCATTCGCTTCACCGTTGGCGTTTTGCGCGACGACAACCTCCTCCTTTGAATAAGTTTTTCCCATATTATGATCTTGGTATATTTTCTGTCTTCGAGATCTTCTTTGGTTTTTTTTTTTTTTTTTACTTCAATCTTGAAAAGTAACTTCTTAGTTTGGCTTCATTTTCATTCTTCTAATATAATTTTCTGAGTTCAGTGGCAGGGTCGCCATGCAATATCTCCATAGGGGTGGTAAATTCAAAGACGTGTTGCTGCCAATAAGTCTGATTTATTATTGCCAAATTTCCTTATATTCAATAACCATACAACACTAAAGTACTTAAAACTATTCGCTGATTAAGCGCAACGTACCTTATTGTTTCTCAATCAACCTTGAGTTACAAAGATGTTCTTATGTCCTTACAATTGGCGTTCCATAATCTCTGCCTACCCCCATGAGAGACAGGCGTGAGATTATATATGAGTGTACGAACGTAGTGTTTGTACTTTAAGCACGAGTCACTTAGAGTCAGACCCGATACAGATTATATTTGCAGCATTGTTATTCCTTTTATTGTATTAAAGTGTCTTTAAAAATTTTAGTAATTTGATCTTGGCATGAGAAAATTTAGAGAAATAAAACAAGATTTACAGAAAATGTTTATTATCAAAAACCTAAAATTAAAGACGCTACACGCGCCATAACAAAGATAAGAACAAATTGAGCAATACTTTGGTTGAAAAATACAACATTTACTTCAATAGAACACAAACTGAACTCCAAACAAAATTGTACTTTACAACAATTGAAATAGATGACAAAATTGCTGCAGCAGTTCAGCAAGCACTCGAAAGAACAACCATCATCAATATAAACTACAAAATGGTAACTGAAATAAGCGACAGTGAAGAGATGCTACCCGATCAAGTTGAAAAGACTGTAGTTACAACACAAATACATGAAGACGATAGGACTTTTTAACTTGACAGAGTAATGTTTAGGGTGAACAGGTTAGTCTATCACAAGTTGACGGAAGGAGCCGTCGATTCCGAAGAGCTCATCATAGTTTGTAGGCTTGCCTGGCCTAAGAGTTTCATTAGCCTTAAGGTTCTCCTGTTCCGCGAACCAATCTTTGTATTCATCTAGCTTCTTGACCCAGGCATCTATAAAATAGAAAAAAAAACAATTAGTCTCAATTTTTTGACGCTTTATGATTCTCATCGCACGTGTGGTTATGGAGATTTGAACTTAGCAATTATCATTTTTGCAGTGAATATTATTTGTGATCACGTGCGTGAAAACGGAGTAGACACAAACAAAGGATCGAGTAGAATATTTTGGGATCTGCATTTTAAAGATTCAGTAGAATGTTGTCTTGATTAGTGTCTATAGTTAACACTAGACTCATCGTCGTTGTCTATTGCAATGTGACGGACAGCATTACTGTCACTGTGTACATGTTTGGTAAATATTTTTCTATATCTTCTGTCTTTTAATTTTCAAGCACCCCTTACGTCTTACTGACTAAAAATCATAGTCCTGCTTCAATCTGAAGCCCCGGTAACCCGCTATGCCGTCCACATCTTCAGATATCTTTAAGCACCATTTAGGGATGTTTTTCCACAATGTGTGATTAGGATAGCATTTGTACTTACTGTGGAGATCATTCATGGGTCCAGCGTTACCGCCATATTCTTGGGGCAACATTTCCTTAGGAACGTATTTGTAGAGATCATTTGTGTCCGTGTGCAGGAAGATCTGAGGACAAAGCAAAATAGTCAATATTTCTTTAAGAATTAAGTTGAAGATGCTTCACAGGTTCTATTCGTAAAAACTGCATTTGTTCTTGAGACACCTATTTTCCTCAAGAAAAGGAATTACAGTAATTGAATTAATTCACAGTTTTGTCTAAACTCTTAGGTAATTATATCGGTGCAAATGAAACGTTTAGTTTTTAAATACATTTTGCATTAAACGTGTACCATCAAAAGTCATAATGTGGGAAACCTTTTATGCAAATATATTTGACTGAAATCCAATGACTACATTTCAAAACAGTTGTTTTGAAAAAGTACAAAAAAGTTGTACAAGACTGATCTGGCAGTTGTAGGATTAAAAGGAAAAAAGGACTTAATTCCACCTTAGCACCATTTAACCATCGCAAAAAGTATCGACACTCTCAGACAGCGACCAACAAATCGTACCAAATTCAAGAAAATAAGTGAATAAGTACTAATACTAAAGGAATAAGACTTTTTACTGATAATAATAATATTGCTATGATAGTTTCAATAGCTTGAAGAACTATTTATTTAGGTATATCAGTGATTTTTGTTCATGGACTGGCCTTTCGATCTCTGTACCCTTGAATCCGTGCTTGACAGCACTTGGTATCAACATGATCAATATCAACAGCCTATAAGTGGCCACTACTAACCAAAGGCCTCTTCTCACACGGAGAAGGTCTGGCATTTGTATATTCATCCATAATGATTCCTCATTGATTCTACTTACCCTTTCTTTGATCTTGTCCTTGATGAAAGGTTTGACGAAGTTGACGATCTTGTCAACAAGAGGTGATACGTTGATGACGTGGACTTCCTTCAGCTTGACTGGGTAGGCTTCCTGTTAATCAAGAGATAATTTGATTTTGATAAATAAGTTGTTCATTGAAATGTTAACATTTTAATCATAAAGGATTATTGATCATAAAGTTCAATTTTGGTAGTTTAATATCAACTTAACAAATGGAACACTAGGTTTTAGCTATTATTTGCCTTAAACCGTTTACGAAGACACTGAAAATGAGAAATTCTTTTAAGTTGTTTCGTCCTAAGCCAAAACATCTTATATAGCTTAACAGCTTAGACGTAGGATATCGTCAACGAGACAGTCCAAAGAATACCGAAAAAGATGTTACATTATAATTAATTTTCCTATTCATCTCCAAGGTTAGATGTTTTACAATCCAGTAGTATTTTTTGTTATAATCCTCATAGTATGAATAGGCGAAAATAATTAATGAGTGTTAAATATTGTTTTTGTTACAATTTTCATTACCATAATGATCTTAGAGCTAAAAATTTTGTTGCCTTCACTGTTAAGATCACTTTTTTGACAGTTCCAGGGTTTTTGTCATAGTTAATGATTTTGTAGCATTTCCATACAATAATGTTTGTCTAACGTTGTGGTTCAATGGTGACTAGATTTAATATTCTTTAATCCTAGATACGGCTACCAAAATCATGATAAGTCGTTGAACCCTGTTGTCGAATGTTCACTCATTAAATCAGCGTTTCAATACCATTTATTCTATTTACTAATTAATTCTTAAAAACTAATTCTGGCTAACTGCATGACATAAACGTAATACATATAAATCGTCACCAACCTGCACACAGACTAGGAATTTCTTGACCAGGGTAGGTGTGAACTTGGCGAAGTGAGTTGGGGTTGCCACAGAAGCGTCTAGAACGTACACATCTCCTGCTACTCCCTCCTTCTCCTCAGCCAGTCTGACGTCACCCAGCATGAGGGCCAGCTTGAAAGCATCTGCCACATTCGGGGTCTGGATGTCTTTGTCGACACCTGAGAGGAAAGCAATAGTATAAATTATTAGGGAATGTTTTTTTTATAAAATTAGATTTAGATTTTATCTCTTTCACATTGGGTGCAGTTTCGGCTGTGAATATGACCGATGGTAGCAAAGATTAGCCATTAAAAGATAGACGTTTAAGAAATATCCAAATATGTTAATTAAAACTTGACAACGAGATTTTGAACGTCATCAATGACTGTGACACACATGGAGCAATAATGATTTTGAATTTGAAATTGACATAAGTAAATATTTTAATAACTAACTAACTCTATAGTTCTGTGCTATATTCAACTAGCTACTTCCGCGCGGTTTCACACACTCTGCTCAGCTCCTATTGGTCGTAACGTGATGTTTTATAGCCTATAGCCATCCTCGATAAATGCGCTATCCAACACAAAAAGAATTATTCAAATCAGACTTGCTGTTACGGAGATTAGCGCGTTCAAACAAACAAACTCTTCCGCTTTATATAATAGTATAAGATATTCAATTTAAATTTATCTCTACAATGGTTATCTGTGTAAATCAAGAGATAGATGTTGAAGAAGTTTATAGATAGTAGTAGAACATACCTCTCATGACAATCACACGTCGGCCCTCCGGTGTAAGGCCCGGCAGTGGGGGCATTTGCCTGTAAAGATGAAATTTGATTATTATAAGACTGTCATAACAACAGCTTTATACCTAGTTACAATTAATTGCCTACATGGTCAGCAATGCACTCGTGATTGCCCTGGTGTAGCAGGACTTGCTTAGTGAGCGCTTTACCATCAAGCGGAATGCAAACTTTATTGCTATTGATAGTAATATAATAAAGGCCACAGTTAAGTTTTGTTTTCTTTGTAATGGTAAGCAATCGTCTACAAGTTTAAAAATGGAACGTTGCTTTAAAGAACTAATTTTATCTCAGCCAACAATTACAATAAAAAAAATATATTACTTTAGCAATAACGTTTATTTTTAGAATCCCTACATTTCTCACTACCGATTATGTGTGTGTAAAAATCTCAGGAAATCCGTACAATTTGCAAAAAAGACGTCATATGTTTTAATTGTATGAGTCTCATTGTTGCACATTTTTTCCACACTTACATGCATATAATCATAATATTATTAAGTTTATTGTCAGCTGTAAATCTGTCTTTACAGTCTGACTTACGCTGACTAATCAACTACGCACTCGTTGTTTTAGAAGCTGCAGTTAAATTGTACACACGGCCACACATCAATCTATACAAAACCAGTTTATCCTGGTGTCGCGTCGCTTCATCTTTCCGCACATTTAACGTTCAGTTTATACTGGTTATGTAAAGCTCGATGTGTAGCCGTGTGCATAAATTATTATCTTATTTTTGGTAAAAAAAATGAGAGTGAGTTTCTCGATGATCAAAATTAATGTCTGATAAGTTCTTTCTAGCATTATACATACAAAAGTGTGTAAATATAATAGGCTTGATGTCTCTTACTACAATTAGATATAAATGGCGCCAGAGCCTTTAGCCAAACGCCACTTTAGCGCTTGTCTACAGAGAGAGTAGAAATCAATATGTATATGGATGACACTGACAAGTGTCAAAATTTACGTCAATTCCATATAATTTGGTTTTCTATTCTACACGTAGATAAGCGCTAAATGGCATTTGGCTACAGCTGCAGGTTAGTATGCTATAAGCATTCCTCTATTTGCTACAACAAATTATATATTATGTACATGTCGTGGTGGCCTGGAGTTTAATTAAGATGCCTGCTTCTCATGCACCAGAGTGCGGGTTTGAAACCTACGAACGGCAAGTATCAATGTGACTTTTTCCGAGTTATATGTATTTTCTAAGATTATTTATACACCACTGACGAACGGTGAAGGAAAATATTGGGGGGAAACCAGTTTTAAAATGTCACCCTACATTGAGGAAGCGTGGTGATTAATATTCAAACCTTCTCCGTGTGAGAACAGGCCTTTGGTAAGTAGTAACCACTTATAGGCTGGTGATGTGGTTATGAAAAACAGCTGCGTTCGTCTTGTCTAGTGCGTTTTCCACCGTCATGAATATTGAAATTAATTACAATTTTTCAGTAGGTAAAGTTGTTGTGAAGCCGTCATATTATTCACATTAATGTATAATTAGTTGATTCCTGTATGAATAGTACCTAATATAACCTGGAGGTGAAGGATTTACAACACGTCTTTATATCGTTATTAGTTGTGTGCATTTTTATTATTATGCCTACATGTATACGTAATTGACTGGACTGCCTTGGCCGAGTGGTCGCAAGTTCGACTGCCGGGCAAGGGGCCTCGGATTCGATTCGGACAAAGTATTACTGGGTTTTTAAAAATCTCAGTAGTAGCACGGAGTCTGGAAATGTGCCCGGTATATGGCAATAGGCTCACCCCTATTACATGGGACTCATCACATAAATAGTGCAAAGTGGTGGCAGAGGTGCTCATTATGCCACTGTAGAGGTACAATGTAGCACCCACTTTATATTAAAATCCTATTTTAAAAACCCAGTAATACTTTGCCCGACCTGGGAATCAAACCTGATACCCTTTGCAGCGGTCGCACTTGCGATCACTCGGCCAAGGAGGCAGTCGGCGTTAAATGAATTATTTAAAAAATGAGCGTACCGTTTTTTAAAGATTAGGTGGCGTTGATTACTTACCATCAATTGCTGTCGATGCTCATTTGCACTTTATTCCATAAAAATTAAATTGCTTCTAATACTTACACAATGTTAAGAATCTCCTGAAGTTCAGGACGGTTGACATCACGGTCGTTAAAGAATTCAGGCACGGCTGCGCGCATGGTAAAGTACATGTCCAGCTTTCGCTTGGTCTTCTCCAGGGAGAACTTGCAACCACGGAGGAAGGTCATGATACGCTGGTCATCTGAAAACAAGAAGTGATTGATTGTCAATTTAAGAGGTTTGCATGTACCTACTTAGTTAATTAGGATAAGGAAATAGTTTTATTAGAATGACTAGCTGGGCCCGCGAATTCGTTCGCGTTGAGTAGTGATTTACTGCGCTTAGCCCGTAGGTGATAGCGTGAATATGTAGCCTATATGTTGATGCAATCTGTTAGTAATAATCATACAAAATTTGAAGTAAATCCATGTAGTACTTTTAGAGATCATCCCGGACATACAAACAGACAAAAAATCTAAAAACCATATTTTTGGCTTCAGTATCAACTGTAGATCACGCCCCAAAGATTATTTAAAATAAATATTCAATGTACAGTTTTGACTTTTCTACGATTTTATTATATGTATAGACTATAGATTATTATTACCCAGAAAGCCTTTATAATGAAAACTAATGAAATAGGAACAAGTGGAACATTGATAAAAACAGAACATTTTTGTCGTGTATGCATTTTTGGTTTTAGGATCATTTTAAGGGAATAAAAATAAAAAACGACTATAAGCCATCTTACAATCAGCTGGAAGAGCGTGAGGTCTAGATAAAATGAATTTTGTCAAAACATAATTATATGGCGTTCCATTGTTCCAACTCCAAGGACGGAGAATAGATAAAAATCACACCTAACTGCAGCTTACCAAACTCATCAGGTAGATGGGGTTCCTTCTTGAGCCACTCCTTGATGTGTGCCAGGTCAGCGTCCTTGGTGTCCGCCTTCTCATTCAACTCCTCGCGGATCTTCTGCCACATCTCACCAGCTGGCTGTTCTAGGGTCATCTTGGCTGCTTCGACTGGTCCTGATGAAGAAATTAGGGGATTTGTTTGAGAAATTTTAAACGACGATATTAATGTTGCGATTTTATATTGGACGGTTTTCGTATCTTTTGTTTCCTATTTTTTTTAGAAGATTTACGTCCGAATACTGAAATGCTACTCAATTTTAAGTAGTACTCAAATATCGTGCCATCTCTTTCATTTTACAAAGAATTTGTAGTGACAGAACTATACTTAAGCGCGACTTAAAATTGAGTAGCGTTTGAATATTTGGACATAAGGGGTGTCATTGAACTAAAAGTGGTATTCAATTTAAGTAATAAGTAAAGAACCGATGTTGCCAACGAAGGTGATGGATTTACGAAGTCTTCAATATGTTCAAATTCTGGATTTCATCAATCAACCCAATGTCTTCAATATGTTCGAATTCTGGATTTGGTTATTCAAAATTTTATCATTTCTTTTATTAGTAAAAGTAAGTTATAGTTATGAATTGCAACTGATCAACCATCTCTACTAAAAATGGTATGAAAAATATTTGATCTGTTGATAGCCAAATAAGCTCATAGGGTCATTGTCACACTTTCTCAATACATCAATAATAAGTCTGTATATATGGCCACGTGGCCTTTTCTTTGTTGTCCCCGAAGTTACATACATACACAAGGTTTATACCACATGGTGTAATTAACGAGGTCAAATGACCTGTCCAGTATATGCGATAATGCAATACATGAAATATTTTTAATGGGTGTGCGACGTGCGTGTATAAAGTTTCACTACCATCTTCCTTTAGCTATGAATTATTGTGTGATTCATCTATACATGACATCAAAATGTCGCGATTTATTATACTTTGAAGGGGTGGGGTGTACAATGTATAATGTGAAACTAATTTTTTGCTAACTATATCGTATATTGAGCACAGTTCAAATTCTAAGTCAGTTCAGTTATAAACAGGTATTCTATGTCCACAATAAGAAATGAAACAAAATACACGACTTTGTAGAACATTAAATTTCTAAAGTGTTTTTTTTTATATGAAAATAAAAATAGGTGCCTAACGATAAACTTTTACTTTGCAAAAAATATCTTTAAGTGGCTAGCTGTAACCAAGTTATATGTACCGTAACGCTATTCATGTTACGAAAAAAGCAATTTAATGAGTTTTTAACAAACTTTCACCGTTTGGTTGAGCAATGCCCCCGCGTCTCGTGTGGTCACGATGTATCGCTCTGTTTCTTCTATGTAATTGCTAATTACCATGCACATACAGACATGCAACCCTAATTAATTAATAAAAAGTCCGATAAATAGCGACTGCCAAATTTTTGCTAATGACGCCATCTGTGGGATAAGGTTCGAACTTTTTTCAATATTGGAAACTTGTTTGAGGAAAACTGTTGTAGTTTAATGCTGATATAAGAGATGGTGCTGTTTGCAACTGGATTTTTAATTATTATTGTGACACAATAATTATTATTTGTTGTTACAGCAATTGTTATGACAAAGTAATACGTACATCGCATAATAAGTGCGTCGAAAGTTAATCACGCGTGTCCATCGATTAAAGACGAAATTACATCAGATACCAAAAACGGAGTACGGTTTAGAGGGCATTGGCTATTTGAATTTGCTAGCTTTTTCATTTAACCTGATTATTAGATTTAAAAAATAAACGTTCAAAAACTTTTACATTTTATAGACATTCTGTCTCAAAAAGAGGTACCTACCTCTAATAATAGAGATACAACAAGAAAATGAAGAATAAAAGGCTTTGAACACTTTAACGCAAGAAAAAAAACAGAAGCTGCCTGACCACTTTCCACCGCAAACTTAACACAGCAATCATAATAGAAATACCGAGGTGTACAAAACAATATAATAGCGAATATAAGTACAGCTACGTAGCTATGCAGAGTAACCGCTGCCAATGACTTTCTGATGATTTTTTCAATCTTTTCAACTTTCAAAATAATTGCATCCATCAGTAACGGTTGTGGGTACCGTTGCCTACACAATTGCAGACAACTGGCTCATTTAGGGTTGCTACGTTAGTCTTGGCGATTCTTTCTTGAGGTTTCATATTTTTGAGAGTTTTTCATATATAATTTTACATTGCCGTGGAGGAGTTAACGGGTTGCCGGGGCTCCAGCTCGATGTGCAGGAGAAGGAATTCCCGGGTAGGTAAAGTATTAACGACTGGCTTTTAAAAAAATCTCAGTAGTAACACGAAGTCAGGAATTTCGCCCGGTATATGGCAATAGGCTCACCACCTATTACATGTGACTTATAAAAAGAGAAAGCCCCCTATTACATGGGACTCATAACATAAATACTGAAAAGTCGGTGTTACATTATGTAGTGGAATTTAGTGCTGTAATGTGCACCTTTGCCTATCTCTTCGGGGATAAAAGACGTGATATTATGTTATGTTCTTATAAAAACTCTTTACGTTTAATAGGTGCATTGGAGATCACAATTGAAAGGGTTCGATTGTCAAAGAGCGCTGATACTCGAAAGAAGCCGAACTAAAGTTTAACTGTAAGGTTGGCGCGGTGGCAGGGAGCAATACTTTGTGTGATCCACAAATTGTTGTTTTGAGTCTGGGTCATATGAATGTGAAGTTGTATGTTTATAAACGCACCCATGACACAGGAGCAAATCCTAGTGTTGGGCAACGTTTAAAAAAAAGTAGCCTCTTTCTTAGTATCCTTACGACACTCGTGCTATATTAATGTATTTTCCTCTGTCACTATTATCACTACTCAATATTGGCTATGTGCGCGACGGTGGCGACGCGTAGCGTTTACAACATTTGCGGAAGCTGTCAAATAATAACAACATAAACATTATAATTTTTATTGCAAATATAAATAAAACCAAAGATTAAAATAGTATTGTTGACATTATTTAAAAGCGATTTATTCAATAGTTTTACTGTAAAATGAATATAATAATAAAAACCGGGTTTGCATCATCCGCATTTGTTTCCAATTTCTGCCGTGTTGTGCGCTGCGGTCGTTATCTGTCCGCCACTACTCGCTTTGCACATAGCCAATAGAGACAGCCCTATCGACTAGCAACAAGAGCAGACACTTCAATGGCGGGATTTGCGGAAGTCACGTGCGCCTCGCTTCATTCGTTTAGTTTTTATTGTAAGCGTGATAACTCGTGATGGAGTCGCCACCTAGCCATTATTGAATGGTTCTGTGCTTCCATCGTAATGGGTGATGTTTTTTGTTCAGGGAAATGGATGGAATGTTTTGTTTGGTTGATTTTTTTATAGAGAGTGGATATATACTTAGTATGGTCTTTGTTTTTAGCTTGCTATTTAATTCTAATTCAATAATATTTGGAAAGTATGTTTTATTGTAATAGTGAAATGTGGGTGTTACATTGTACAGGGGTATAATGTGCACCTCTGCCTACCCCTTCGGGGATAAAAAGGCGTGATGTTATGATGATGTTATGTTATGTTTTATTGTAAAAATGCATTTAGAAGAATAGAGTTCTGAAAAGTTTAAAATATAAGACAAGATTCATTTATTTGCCTGAAATATGGTGTTTTACAGATTATAGAGCATAAAAAAACTATATCCCGCCTAGAAATTCGGCATGCAAGTATTTTAACAAAACTAAAGTACAAATTCTGACAATGATTCTAAGTTAGAACAAAAGCAATCAAATTACTACTTCTGATAATGATATTTCTTAATTACTTAATACTTTTTCTAAATTGGTAATTTTGCGAATACTGAATAGATGAAATAATAGGTGCTACTGTATTGTATGATTACCAAATAGCAAAAATGTATTAAGCGTATTTTTGCCCAATTATACTAGTTTTACCAAATATTAAACGTCTAATGTCGTGACACTAGCTAATTCCCTATTGGACGAAGAACGAGAGGTTCACACAAGCGTTATGTTGTGCGCAAAAATACAGTAGGCCTTATTATCACATTCTTACAAATAAATAATAATTAGGTTTAAATGGGGTTTAAACTGTCAAACACCAAGCGGTCACCGGTGACCCCAACCTATTGTTCTTTAATTGTGTCTATAAATACGGTACTCGACGAGTTAATTGCCCTTCATAATAATTTGTGTATATTTTTGACCAGAGCAAAATGACTCAATATTTGTAGGCTCAAAACCAAAATATAAGCAAATGGAAAATTATATGATACCTATATGTATAAAACGGTATAAAATAGGCTACAATTACTACTACTACAACTAGGCCATTTTTAATGGGGGAAAATATGAAATAACTTCTCCCGCCTGGGTGCGGCGAGAGGGAGTGTCACTACTCCTAGGCTACGATTACTATCTCAGAACAATACTACTTCTACGTAACTGGTTATAACTGTTGTGGTTTCTATGGTTTTGAAAAAATTAAAACCCACTCTTGTCCCTGTTTCAAATTTTTGAGAGACAATAAAGAATTGGACTTTCAACGCAGATATCATACATTATAGATAAATTAAATTGGAGTGGTCTGTTTGTAATACTGAAGTAACCATTATACTACATGCATATAGATATACATACGATATATATACCAAAATAACATTTTTTGTCTGTCTGTCTGTTTATACTGGCTAATCTCTGAAATGGCTGGAGCGATTTTGTCGGGAATTTTCTTAGCAGGTAGCTAATATACTAAGAAATAACATAGGCTACTTTAATTTTTATTAAACGCAGACAAAGTTGCTCGTTCAGCAAGTCGTATATACAATTTGATATCAAAAGACGTTTAGACATCTGATTACTGTCAATTCGTTTTGTAGTTGAAAGTCCAGATCTAGTTTGATAAATACGAAATCTCAGTGCTACCTGGAAATTTAGAAATCTTAATCGCTCTTCACACTCGCTCTTATCTACCCAGACATAATATTTTCTATTAAGCAAACGCTGAACCGGTTCAGCCGCGTACTAGAAAACTTTTAGCCTATTTTTAAGGGGGAAAATCATCCAATTACTTCTCCCACATTGAG